TGCCCATGCTAGCCCGACACATACTCTTATACATGTATACGAGAGCAACATCACCCCAACTGTACTGGGGTAACTCATCTAGCTGCTGCAGATGATGCAGAAAGCGCAGCCTCACTATATTTCCCGAAGTGCTGGGGAACAAGACACCCCTAAAAAGAAGGAACAACGCCAACCTCGTGTACCAGTGAATATAGAGATCCTCTATCTCGCCGGTAATGTCGGGGTGCAATACCTCCATATGTTGTCTGATAGCTGTCACAGAAATGCGACTGCCCCCTTTAACTACAGCCTCACCCTGTGGTCTGAAACCAGTATATTGTCCCAGCAAATCCAAATACTGGGGACGCATCATAGCTCTCATTTACTGGGGCAGTGCAACGGCCAGTCCATCAATACGCAACTCATATAAAACCTGAACATCCTGAAGCGTGATGGTTGCCTCTCTAGTGGGCAGGTAAAAAGTGTGCATCTCCGGTCGCCACCGCTCTATCAACGCCGTGATGAGAGACCAGTTGATCTGCAGCCGCCCAATCTAAAAAATTCTAAAGAAGCCCGTAGCACGCAGGCGATGGACTACGCGGGGATGGAAATCTCTATGCCTCAAAAAGTTCCACAAGTCATCCGGTCTCCTGGCGTGGAGAGTCTGATCCAATAGATGTCCCTCCCATATGTAGGCGGACCTATGGTCACCCTGTAACACTAATAACTGATCCGCGGCTGGTCTAGGATGCACATGTGGCAAGTCCCTGTCGTCTACTGTAATTTAAACAATATTAATTGTGTGTTTGTGTTATAATAATTAATAATTAATTATTTAATTGGATAGAGTAATTATCTATGGGTTCCAGGCTCGATATTTTAGGCCCAGTAGCACCAAGCTATCCTTAATTATTATGTGTGTCAATTTCAATTTTTTTAGAATTTTGTTAGTTTAATAAATTAAATAATTAATTTTTAATTGGACAGAGTATATAACTACGGGTGCCAGGCTCGATATTTGAGTCCCAGTAGCACCAAGCTATTCTTAATTATTATGTGTGTCAATTTTAAAATTTTTAGAATTTTGTTAATTTAATAAATTAAATAAATTAAATAATTAATTATTTAATTGGACAGAGTAATTATCTATGAGTTCCAGGCTCGATATTTGAGGCACAGTAGCACCAAGCTATCCTGTATTCTTTTGTGTGTCAATATTTTTAGAATTTTGTTAGTTTTATAAATTGAATAGTTAATTTTTAATTGGACAGGATATACAACTATGAGTTCCACGCTCGATATTTAATTTGACAACATATATTAGTTTGTTAGTTCTGTAAGTTTATTTTATAAATTAAATAATTAATTTTGTAAAGTGTAATTGGATAGAGTTTTGTAGTTAGTACATACTTAAACTACAGAGACTCTACGCTAAAAGGCTCTATATTTTACTATTCTAAAAGGCTCTATATTTTACTACGCTATAAGGCTCTATATTTTACTACGCTAAAAGACTCTATATTTTACTACGCTAAAAGGCCACTATTCTTTAAGCAAATAAATAATCTAAACTAAATAAAAACAACAAACATATGAACATAACATTCACGAAATTACATATAAAACAGTAAAAGATATTTGTGAACAATTTCATTAACAATAAAAATTATTTCTCAACTTTTAACTATTTTTTTAAAACACTAATAATTTAATCCGAGTAAAGATAACATACAAATTTAATAGCAAACATAACACAAATCAACGTGGAAACACATTCAAGAAAACAAATATGCATATGCTCTACGAGTTTCGACATAAACTAAATCGGAATACCTCGATTTATGTTTTTTGAAATATCGAAAATTTGAAATTGACCCCGAAAGAAGGAATCCACAACAATTGAAGGCTTGGGTTGTATGCGGGACCTACGCTCTTCATTTTTTGTGTGACAGGTAGGGCCCAAGATTTTTTTTTTAATCGAAGGGGGGACCAGCAGAAATGGTGTGGGGGGGGGGGGAGGTTTAAAAATGGCCAGTGATTCTGTCGTGGGGAAGAAGGAGGGATTATATTTTTTTTATAGGAAAACGCAGTATAATACTACGTTTTCCTTAAACGTAGTACTATACTGCATTTTCCTATAAAAAACAAATAATTAAATAAAACGTAGTATAATACTGTGATTTACTTTAATGGCTAACTTTTTGTTAAAGTAAAACGCAACATTATACTGCATTTTATTTAGAATATAACTTTTTTTTAACTGTATAAATATATTTTATGTCCAAAAACCCATTATTTCAGTTTCGAACTCGTCTAAGGTATCAATCACTGAAAAACAAAACAAAGGAAAAAGACAAGAGGTGACTCACCAGCCACAAGATATCCCCAGCTTTCTTAGAATAAAAATGAAATTCCAACTAACAACTTTTTTAATGTTGGTGATCTCCAATTATTTATTTAAATTGTCAATAAAAGATTACATAGTCATAAGTATTCTTGTGTGACAACATTTATTATAAAAGTTAAGCTTTTTCTGAAACCAATTTTCATGTTATATTATAATATATGACCTCTATAACAACACTTCACTAGAACATCCAAAAATATTATGAACAAACGAGACTGTTATTGAGAGGCTTGACTGTATATGTCTTTTTAGATTCAAGGGTAAAGGTAATAAGTATTTTGATTTATTTCACAGTATCTTGAGATAACTTTGAAATAATAAAATGTAAAAATTTGGGACTTAAAATATATAATTGCAATTGTGTAAATAAAGAAAAACTAGATTTTTCGAAGAAAAATGAAGTGCTCTTAGAAACTAGAATAATGGAAATAATCGATAGAGTCGTTAAGATTTTAATAAAGCAAAAACTTTCTTCCAAATCAAGTGAACAATTGGAAAACTAATGTTAGTAAGAGAGCAGCTCATATGTGCACAATATGTAATCTCATATAATTGCGTTGCGCGTTATCTTGCTTAAAGTAAGGCGCAAAAAAACAACAACAATGAAAACCAAATTACAAACGTACATCACATCATTCCAAAAAAATATGGAAGTGGATTGGTCGTCATTTTCAATTACTAATTGTCATCAGAAAAACAGTGATTTTTTAATGAGGGGTTATTTATCTTTTTTAATTATCTGCATGATGATCATTTGGGGTGGCCTTATTAAAGTGAGAATGGCGGGCGTGAGACATCAAAAATATTCTTTAGTTTTCTAGTAGTAGTATTTCTCTCTGCAAATGCTATAGTCAATTTGACACTTCCTTTGGCCTTTCACTGTACCTGCTTTTTCTGCTGGAGTTCATTGGATCAATTAACAAGATATCTTAAACATTCAACCAGGTTAATTTGCTCTAGCTACTCTTCAAAATTTCTTTGCTTCACTGGGGTATTGAATATTTATGCAGTTCCTCTTTTCATTGTCTATCTGTATAGTCATAATGAGGTAAAGAGAAACGATGATAACTGGGTTTTCTAGATTTTAAGCATATGTCGCATGCTTATTTAAGAAATCTATGCTGCTTTCTATTTGCTATTCTACGATCAACTTGTAGTACTCCACCTTATTTCTTTTAATCTACCTTGTATTTTTTCGTTAGTTTCTTAACATGAAAGATTTTGGGTGTGTTTGGTGAGAAAGGAAAATGTTTTTCTGGAAGATAAGTGGTTTTCTTGCTTATTTTCTGGTGTTTGGTAAGTTAGCAGAAAATATCATCCCAAGAGCATTTATATATATAATCTATGCAAACACTATGAGGGTGGGGTCAGGTGCTGGTAGGAGTATGTGTTAGGTGCTAGAGGCGGATCCAAAGTTTGAAGTTTATGTGTTCCTACAGCTAGAATATGTAATAATAACTGTCAAATATTTATAGACTTTTGGAGACACCCT